TGGCAGCTATTGTCAGCTAAATTAGGTAGCAGGATGCTAGAATACAGGGGTTAAGACCACTAAAGCTGCTGTAAAAACAGTGGGTAGCCCGCTAAAGCCACTAAAATAGGCGGTAAGTGGGGTCAAATCACTTATCTCGGCTGATGAGCTACTCCTATTGTGGTATGGACCTTGGATGTTCAGAGCTAGGATTCAAACACGCATGTCACCAACGTCCCGACTCGGAATGACCTACGAGTAAGTCATCGTGATTCACAAATCTGTCCGCTCCATATAGACTCTAAGGCATTCGGATGTCCCTAGGGTTTTGCTTGCGGTTTGCCGGCTCCTGGGGTGTTGCGCTGGAGGCTTATGGGCCTATGACGAATGTCGGCGGGTATTGCCAGATTCAACCGAGACGAGTTCCCGAAGCGGCTGCGTCCCAGGACTCCCAAAACAACACCGGCCATTACGAGAATCTCTGATCCTGTTGGCAAACCAAGGCAGATTCTCCTGCATTGCTCTCATGCCTCTACTCTTCCTTCTTCCCAGTTCAACCAATCACGCCATCTACCTTTTTGGCTTTGCGCCGGGTCATCGAGCACTCAAACGCTGGAAGCTTGCCATGTGCTGGCACCTGGCGGGAGTGGCGCCCGGAGCTGCTTCTGACTGCCCCGCAATTTTCCAAGGAAACAAAACGCAGGAAGCGCAGGAGTTCATACCTGGAGGTTCATCGGCTCACAGATTGTGCCGGGAAAAACAACCGGAATCGCGGGGTTCGTGTCGGCCGTCACCAACTTAAGGACAGACGGGTTCGGCCCGCAAGATCGCCAGCTGGCGGAGGAAACAATCGGCATCAAAACCATGGACCTCCCGACCCGCCGCACCCGGCCGGTTGTGCACGCCTTTTCGCTCCGTTACCTGCTTGTCGTCCCAATCCTCCTGGCCATCCTCACACTACTTGCTCTCTTCATCCACAGCGACACCAACATCTACATGCTGTATTCGCAATGCCACGCTCGCTCCCGCATTCCATGGCTCTCACACATTCCGCTCCTGGGAAGCCCAGCCTGCTTCCTGGTCAGCTTCTTCCAGGAAGCCATCGCATCCGCCCGCGCCTTCGGGCTCATGGCTGTCATCCTCTCTTTCGTCGCCGCGCTGTTAACTGTCTCCACCGTCGAGGCTGCCCGCATCTGCAACTCGCCCAGCATGCTGATTGCCTACCCGACGGGCTCCTGGCTCGTGTTCAATCTGATCGGAGGCGCCATCGTGTGGGAGCTGGTCATCATCCCCGCCTTCTTCCACCGCTGCCGCGAGATCATTGCCGCGCGGAAACAGGGCGGGCCCCAGCAGCTGTCTGGCCCGGCGGATCCCACTTTTGGCGAGACGATGCGACACCTGGCTAGGGTAGCCGAGACGGTGGCGATCCCTGTGGCAGTGGCCATTGGGTACGTCGTGCCGTCACTGCTGATGCTGGTGCTGGATGCGCCAGTCGCAGTGCTGGTTTGGCTGTTCTTCCCGGTCTGGGTCTCGCTTGTGCGACGGGCTGTCCGCAGGGTTGTGCTTTTCGTACGAGAAGAGTGGAGCGTCAGCTTGCATCTCGAGTCGAACCGGGTTGCGCTACTCGCTGTGTACTTGATGCCTATCGCCTGCTCCGTTTTAGCGCATGCGCACTGGATTTGGACCATGAGCCTGCCAGACGATCGCAAGGAGATGACACGCGCCACTCTCAAGTTTATCACCATCGACGCCTTTTTTGTCGGGCTGACTGTTCTCTACTGGATCTTCATTGAGGCTGGGTGGAGGGTGGCACTGGTGACGATGGGAGCATCCGTTCTGCTGGGTCCGGGCGCCGGCGTCTGCATCGGCTGGATCTACCGGGAGCAGACGGTCGATCCGGACAAGGGCGTGACGGTTGTGGTTGTTGGAGCTCAGAGGGACAGCGACAACGCATCTCCTTCGGAGGAGACCCCGCTGTTGCGGTGACGGGAGCTACCTCTCAGCTCATGAATGTGTTACGTAGTGGTGGATGAATAGGGTTGGATGACGAGTCAACGATCCGTATAATGTCTAAACGTTGTACATGAAAGAGAGATAGGATCAGGATCCAATGTAATGTCCATCAGTGCCGCAAACTCCGAAATACCCATCGTCTTCTGCATCGTTTCTACGTTGAACTTGCCGTCAAACGCTCAAGCATCCCGCCTCACCATGGCCCTGGGCAAAGGTTGCTCTATCATGTCACGAGCAAGTCCAGCAGCGGAAGTCCGAGCCCTAACCCTGGCGACAAGGCCAAATCCGGGAGAGACTCAGCGATTGGGTCTCGGGTGACCAACTACCGACATCACATCATCGGCAGCCATAGGCCAGCGTCTGCCGTGGTAATGGGGCGACGAAACCTCCTGTTGTGCTTCGACGCATTCGGAACCCTGTTTAAGCCCAGACAACCCATCGCAGAACAGTACGCAGCCGTTGCCCGAGAATGCGGGCTCAATGGCTTCACCACTGAGCAGCTGCAAGCCGCCTTCAAAACGGCCTTCTCGGGGGAATCGAAGGCGCATCCCAACTATGGCAGGGCCACTGGTATGGGCGCCGAGAAATGGTGGACAAATGTCAGCATAGATACATTAATCGGTCTCATCATTCATTCCTATTGACATCTTGTCAGGTGATCCACAAGACCTTCCAGCACCTCATCGGTGCAAGCAGGAAACTACCCGAGGCACTGGCCCCGAGACTCCTGCACCGCTTCTCGTCTCGCGAAGGCTACAGCCTCGCGCCCCAGGTGGACTCACTGCTCCGCTCACTCAAGCACCGCCGCCAACAGCAGCAGCGCTCATCCATCGCAGTCGGCGTCATCACCAACTCGGACGACAGAGTCCCCAGCATCTTGTCGTCTCTCGGTCTCCGCGTCAGCCCCCTACGTTTTGGGAGCAGTATCAAGCCTGTCGACCCTAGCAGCCACGACGAGTACGACATTGACCTGCTCTGCCTGTCCTACGACGTCGGTTTCGCCAAGCCCGACAGGCGCATATTTGATGCCGCCGAGGACATGGCAAACCAGCTATTACCGGCAGCTGCAGCGCAGGAAGAAGGGAAGCCCGTTCGCGTGAGCAATAGCGGGCCGGCTACGGAAGATGCCGCATCCTTGTTAAAGTTGTATGTCGGCGATGAGTTTGAAAAGGACGTTGTGGGAGCACGAGACGCGGGATGGAACGCGGTTTTTGTTGGGACAGATGCTGACATAGGTGGCCAAGACATCGACATGCTGGATCTAGACCGTCTGGACACGAGCGGGCTGGAGGAGGTGTTTCCAGACAAGGATACCTCACCTGTGACAATCAGGGCGGATAGCACACAGGCTTTTCTCAAATGGCTCATAGAGCGGTCCGCAGCAGGAGGCTGAGGTTGGCATTCATGGAGGGTGGGAAATGGGTGCCCAACCGAGATGCCTGACCGAAAGCGGCATAGGGGGCAGAGTGAATGTATACAAAGCGAGCTCACAGCGCCGCTATTGTTATTTTTAACCACGATAACATAGGTGCTTAATTCGATGAGGACCCAAACCTCCCAACGGCCATCGTAAGTCTTCTCCGAGCGGATACAGTTCAGCAGCATAAAACAAAACGGAACGGAACGGAAGTCAGGGAATGTAGCACAGCTTGGGGTGGGCAATGGGAATGGCCGCAATGACTCAATGAGAGCCATGGCCAACTCCAGAAGACCGAGAGCATCGGGGCTCTGAGGTCCGGACACGGCTTCGTTAAAACATTCGGGCGCGTCCAGACTTCTGCTTACCCTTCCCTCATGCACTACAGTGATCTGACAAATGACGGATGAGGTACTGAAATGTGGTCCCCTTCCTTGCCGTTGATATTCGGGTGGCTGTTCCATGTCTATGTCACAATTCACATTGGCTTCTGACTCGCATTAATTCATGGTGGACGGAAGGGTCTCTGTCACTCTGGCTATCACTACTAGTACTTATTGCTTGGTGGCTAAAGAAAGTCGGTCAAACTGTACGACAGGAGACACCAACGTACGGCTTGTAAGAAGGAAGGAGCACCAGTCTGAACAACAACAACTCATCCCATGTAGTGTAGTGGTTAGCATTCCAGATTTTCATCTCGTGTAGAAAACTCTGGCGACCGGGGTTCGAACCCCCGCATGGGAATTCTGATTTGTTTTTGCTGGTGGTCCCTTCCCAGCGAGATATCTGGTGGCTCAAGCTTCATAGAGCTTCATAGAGCTTCATAGAACTTCATGCTGAGGCCAACATCCTCCCCTATCACGCACCAGTTTCTGTTCTTTTTACACACCCAGCTCTTTTGGTGCCCAGTCAGCTTCGTTGTGCAGCAGATGTATCACCTCCAAGCCGTAGATTCAGTGGTTTACCAGGAGTGTATGTTGCATAGAGGATCATTCCACCGACCCAACTGTCACCGCAGTCCGGAACCGTCGAGTTAACATACGACCTCCGCGTCAGCCTCCCCACCGGAAGTCTTCCAACTTGCCCATCTATCGGATGTCGGCTACGCGCCCAGTGTCTGACACTGTGGGCTATTGATGTTGATGCAGAGGGCCCAGCGGTGCGGACAGAACTGCACGATTGCGCATCACGGCAACAGGCCGTTGGCATCCGTCGTCGGCAATTGGGAAGCGCGAAGGCAAGTCAATTCACATCACATGGGCGACCAGTGCGGTATGCACTCCAGACCCGTGTCCGTTGGGCATCGATGTCCCAACATGATGGGGCGAGTCGCACAAGACAGTTTGCCTACCCTGCCTTCAAGTTTCCGCAATAGGCCCCCACGGTCAAACAAAACCGGATGCGAAGTTGGGCAGTCGTTGGACTTGTTGCCGGATTACCTCTAGCGGAGTTCCGGCGCTGTGCCTCAGCTGGTCTGTTTTCATAGATCCAAGCCGGGAATGACATCAACATGCCGAAGCCCGAGAGCTTAAAATCGAAGCCAGCGGCAGCTATGAGCTGTCGTGACACCAAGGCGATCAGCGGAGGAAGTCAACGCCAATATCAGGGTCCGAGACTTTTTCGTATATGAGACATCCTGTGCAGATGAATTGGGGAAGGAACACCCTGTTACCTGTGCGACCCAGTACGTACCAGGTGTGCTGCCGGACCAAGATCCCATATTTTCTGGAGCTCGAGATCCAAAGGAAGATTGAGTTTTACGGAGAGCAAAGAGAGAGGCTATTGCATTGCATATCGTTCCAACTCACCCGAAGACCCAGATCTACATCCCAAGTGCTGTATCGTGCGTTGTTAGAAAAGAATGTTGCCTGGGCAATGCATTAGTTCGCCTAGGGCGGTTGCACTTTCCCTCTGCCCACTCTTGAGATGCCAGAAACTCCCGCACCAGTGTCCATGTGAGCCGAGACAACCCGTATCTTACCACCGATATCCCGCTTCCCGCCCTTCTCTGTGTTACCCATAAAGCTCGAGTCGTTCCAGTCCTCGACATTCCCGCTGACGGCGCCCCTCGGCCGCCTCGCTAACGGAAAAACTTGGTTTTCATCCTTTCAGGCCGTCATCCTCCGGAATCGCTAGGGAAAGGCCATAGTTGTCTCTCCTGATTCATCCGAACTATCACCCACGGGCCACCAGAGGCATTCGGCAGAATACCGGAAAGGAGTGGTGCGATGCTAAAAGGTTGTGGTGGCACAGAGTCCAATGGCTATGCGCGGTGCGGCCTCGCAGATTGTTTCGATGTCCCGACTCACGACCGGTGTGCGATAGTAGGATATTGACGATTGCTGGTAACGTTCCAAACAGCGCCTAGCCAGCCAGCAGTCAGCCAACAGTCCTCTCCCTCACCGGTGCCCAGCCAACCCCTTTGCCGAACAATGGAAATCCGCTTCGAGTCCACGTGTCAAATTAACCATCACGGAAGCCTCAGCTACCGACTCCACACCAACCGACTGATCCTGCGCGAGGAAGGAGAAGATGGCGGAATCAAGCACAGTGCCAGAACCTCCAGACCGGGCCGAAACTAATCCAACGGTGTTGGGCCAGAAAGCAACCTCCAAGCTCCATGTCTCTGGGGCTTCTACTCCATCCGCCTAGCTAATCAGACGCGCTTCGCTCTTGACGCCCTTGAACTTGTGCGTGGGGGGCAGACCACATGCTTCGAGCTGACAGCTGTGCTGCTCGTCTTGACTCGACGCGATCCGTGTCTGCCCGACAACTCACGTAGAACGGGCATGGCAAGTCGGTTGGGCATTCACGTCATCCTCGGCCTTATTTCCCCCGACTCTGCGCCAGGGCATGGTTCGCAGCTTTGTGAGATGTTATATCTGCAGCTGATCTCTGTCATATGTGATAGATCTGTAAAGCATCAGGGGCCAGCGCCACATCCAGACTAGCGGGCTGAGAACTTCCGAGACTCTGCCATCCCACCACCACCTCGCCTTCTCATTCGTCTCTCAGGATCCCCATGTTCTCCTCTGCCGTGAGCTCCAATCTGTCTGGGCTGGGTGTTCTGATTTCTCTGCTGACGCTTGCAGGCTGCCCACGCGAAGGGGCATAAACACGGTTCCGGCCATGGAAAGCGTCAAAATACCAGCAAGCACTCCAAACCTACCAAGACGAAAGAATCAGCAAGGCCCGTGAACCAAGGAACGAATCCTTACTCTTTTTTGTTTGTCGTCAATGAGTTTCAAGTCGACTATGAGCCTATCCATCCGAGAGATCGACCCCTTACGGATTCGTGGCTCAACATCATGCCCCCAGAGGAGGCCGCTGCCTACAGAAGCGAGGTGATAGGAACCGTGTTCCGTTACCAAAACGGGATTATCTCTCCTGCTCATGGTTACGTATGGTACGGAACCATTTTGAGTTCTCTATCGTGCAACTAGACTAGTTCTCTGTTGGCTAACCATCGATACACAGGTACCGGCCTCAAATGGGCGCTAAAGGCTGCATTGTTCGGATCAATCAGGCGAGTGTTATCGATGGGTACCCCATTGTCTACAGCGAGACGACTGTGTTCTCCTGCTCGCCCCTCCTACCGATGATCGTCACCCGTGACGATGCGTCACTAGGGGGCACGTTCATGCGCCGCGTCTGCGAATGCGACAGAAGGTTTGACGGCTACTCGGCTTGGTCCCTACTGCACTTCACAGGCGGAGATTCCCAAGAGGGAATTTCATCAATCAACTCGTATGCTTCAGGAGCCCCATGTGTAGTGGGAAAGGATCCTTCATGGATCCCGTCGCTCGTGCCCAGTGTTTACCGGAACACCAAACCATCGGCCCCGCCTTCCCAAGGTCTGGCGGGCGAGCTGGGAATCATCCTTGCCTTGATGGGCTTTCACGGAAAGAAGCACCAGGCCAGTGACGTCTTTTTGAATCGAACCTGGCATCTGAATAGATGGAACGGGCCTGGCCGGGCCTCAAACTACCGTGGGTGCTCATTTCTTCCAAATTTGGACGACGTAGCAGCAGTCCAGCTGATTTCATCCAGTCCCTAAAGAGGGCGACAGTCCTCGCGGCCTCTTCGTTCAGGTCTGCCTTGACAACTTGGTGGATGACCAGCCGGATGATGAAGAACACAACATTCCCCAGGAACTATGCGAGCAGGTGTTATCATACCTCGAGTACGGGTATGGGTCCATCCTTGTCCAGGGCTGACTTTTGAAGCCGACTTCTTCCCCGTCTCGCTTTCCTTTATATGCCTTTGTCATTCTCTTCCTCGATCTCTATTGCCTTCAAGGCAGCCCGTCTCGCTCCCCATTCATATGATTCCACCCAATTCTGCTTTACTTCTGCGATGCTGCCCTGGGCGCTCCTCATGACCATCTCCTACACATTGTTTTGCATCTGACCAGCGCGCTGGCTTGAGGATTCCCTTTTCTTGCCTCGGAATCTTTCGATAGTCTAGCAGAAACAACGACGCATCATCCTCGAGGACTGATGAAGTGAAAATGTGCTTGAGGCATCACCCCGCAACACTTGTGCTTGTTTCTCTGGACCAGTGCATTCATGGCCCAACTCGCTCAATTTCGACCATATGCCGCAGCAGACCGTTTACTAATCTCCAGAACCCGCCGCCCCGGGATTCCCGTGCTCGCCTTTCGCCCAAGACATGGGTGGCTGGATCCATCCTTGACCACAAGCCGTCGTATGAAGAGAGGAGAGCCATAGCAGCCAACGGAGCGATGGCTCATACCGCATCTGGTAACCTTACTGCAATGTCCCCCGATTGCGTGATGTAGCGCACCCATGGCAAGGAAGGGTATTGGAGCTAGAGACACATCAGCTGATGTACACAACCAGAACGAAGGACGCAGCCCTACCTTTGGCTCTGTGATCTTTAGATAGCGCACCTGGATCCCGCTGGTGGTGAAGTAAGGAATCTCGAACTTGACCTGGATCGGCCTCTTCGCCCCCTTACCAGGCGCTCCGATACCGCCCATGCTGCCGCCAAAGCCGCCGGTCATGCCGCCACCATGCTCATCATCACCCCGTACACTAGGCAGGCCAAGCTCGGCACGCATGAGAAACTCCTTGCCGCCTCCGAATTGCTTGATCTTCCAGACGATGGCGCTCTGCTCCGGCGCATAGTGGACCGACCCAACGTTGGTGCGGAAGCGCGGCGTGTCGGCGTCGTCGGGGACGGGGACGATGATCTCGACGTTATTGGCGGTGCTGCGGCGCTTGAACTGGGCCCTGGCCTTGAGCATGTACTCGATACGGGAACCGCTGTGTGACTCGACGACGCACTCGACCCAGATGAGTGGCTTGACCTGCGTGTTGAGGCGGTACGACATAAGCTCGAACTCCCCGTCGGGCGGAATGAAGCTGATGGTGCGGTCATTTTCGAAGCGCGACAAGCGCACGCACTGGTGGAACTTGACATCCTCCATCTCAATAGCCTTGCCACGCGTCGTCCGCCCCGTCGTCTCGAACATGACCTTGTCGTTGAGCCCCAGCCGCAGCTCGGGCATGCCCGACAGGTAGCACTTCATCTTGATGGCGCCCAGGATCTCGGACCGCAGCACGTTGCCGTTGGCCGACACCAGCAGGTTGAGCGACTCGATCACGTCGAGGAACACCTCGTTCTTGCGGTACCGGATGCCCTCGGAGCGCCACGACACGGCGTTTGTGACGGCGATGGGCGGGCGGGCGATCTCGAGCTTGTGCGACTCCTGCGTGATG